TCTGTAAATAAATATTATTATTATTATTATTATTATTATAACGCCCGCGACTCTGAAACTCATTTTCGTATATAGGGTGATCAGAAATGTGGGCAGACAGTTTGAATTTGGTGCTTAAAATATTAGTGTTTTTTTTAGTTAAGGCATTGTCCACCATAATTTCTTCATAACAGTAACCCCCCTTCATTTACGTAAATTTGTATAAATTACAATGATTAAAGGCTTTGGCTACAAAAAATTCGGTTATGCAAAAAAAACCTTAACATAGTACAACAAATTTACAGCCCGAGCGTGCCGACAATACTGCAAGTTAATATCTTTTCATTTAGCATTGATTAATTTTATTAAATGCACGATACTTTGCACCTACTGCCACTTATCCGTGCGTCCGTAGGTAGATGGAAAGTTAAGGGCTCAGTCGACGAAAAAGAAGGGGGTATATCTCACTACATTCGACTTCACACTTACCAGAGCACTTGGAATCATTGTCTATGTTCGTTTAACCAAAAAGGTAAATGTTTGGAACAAAATAGCTTAACATGGATTCAGTTCCTCAGGTTTGATCATTTAGCAACGCGTAGAAATAGGTTGTATTGCCAATCAGCTGCTTTTGCTCATACTCGCCGGCACTATCCGTGAGACGTTACGGATTGACGAATCCTGGTAGGCTACATAAACCTGAGGACTTCACGTTAGTTAATTTGTGCTGCATATGATCCCATGGGTTTGTGCTTAGGTCAGTCGTACGTGGTTATTCAACTGGCTCCCTAATACTACTACTAATAATAATAATAGGTTGTCTGAGCTTATTAGAACAATCAAGGGCAGGATTCTCCTAGCCCACCTTATTTGGAAACATTAGGTATCATTCCTTTTCAAGAAAAGGCCTACTCCGTGATACACCCCTATATCGGGGTACGACAACTTGAAAACTATTGGGCACACGCAACAAAATTACTTCAGTTAACCACTGTAGGCTCAGGCAAAGTAGGTGGGTCGAGGTGGTGAATGGGTTCTCTTTTACAGCTAGATAAAACAATCAAAACGCCACTGAGTTTTGTAGAAAAGTTAAAGAAAAAATACTTATTGAGGGGAAACAAGGTAGACTAACAGATCCTTGTTCAGGTATTAATAAAACTAAAGGGTGAAAGAAGTTGAGAGTTGAAAATTAAAGGCACTTAACTAGTCAAAATCAAACTTTGCATAGCTGACCTATATGTCACATGTATCAAGCCTGTTGAAAATGGGTCAAATCCAATGACCCCGTAGGGTCACACCGAGGTGCTTTACCGCTTCTTTAGATCTGCTTTAGGGGTTTATTTGACCTTTGATTTTAAAAGGTTTGATAAGTGACCAGATAAAGACCTATTGTCAGATGTCTCTAGGTACTTGGGGTAAATTAACATAATTGTAACGTCGACGTAAAACGGTAGCGGTATTTGAGCTTATGCTAATATTTGAGGACATGGACGCTGTGGATACCATCGTTCATCGGATTGGAATCTCGACGTTTATAAACAATGATAATATTATGAAACAATAGATTATAATTAGCAGGTGACGCTTCACAAACATTCCGACACATTTATCAGCGAATAGTTACCATCAAAGTTGAGAATTTGATAACTTACATCATATCAAATAAAACTGAAAAGAACCATAAATTATTACGAAGAACCAAATTGAATAGGTAGATAAAAATCTTCAATAGGCCCAGAGCAGGAATTTATATTTCCCTCTGGCAGAAAAAAATTTGACGACTAACGAGTTTAATGCTACCTACGTTAGTATACAAATAAAGTTCATTAAAAACGTATCAGTATCACGAGGGCGAACACAGTTTCAGTTTTCAGCCAATATTGCGTTACTCTTATCGGATGTAATTTAATTTTGTATAGTGCGTCTGTCTCTACAATCGGTGAAGCTATTGAGTTTCAATATCTATTCATATCGAAAATGAGTTCATTCGCAAATCTGTATCTATGCTATTTGAATGTTTAAGTGGTTTTCAAATACAGAGGGGCTGTCAATAAGCAAAGTGAACTGCATCAGCTCAGCTTCCCCCAAAAATAACAACGGAATGATAGTACATTGTACAATTTATGGCCATCCGATCTATTGCAATCACTTTTAGGCACAACGGGAGATTAACTTGTTTACGCGGCTGGCACAGTACGATACTCTAAATTGACTTGGTTTAAAATAGATTGGAAATGCTTAACTACTACTGTTACTGTCGATAGATCTGTTCAGTTTTATATCTGAGATAGATTGTTGATTAGATTCGCTACTAATATCTAGGATAAGAACACACTCAAAACACCTAAATACCTTACACGTGAACAATTTCTCTCTGGCGGTTTCGCGAACTGAACTAAACAAGCCTCGAATTTGAGACTTCACAAATAAATATATCCCTTGTGCCGTCTTCCTATTTAGTAATATCGATGAGACTTTTTTGTTCAATTCTTCTTCATTATTTTCTCTATTACGACGCATTATTATTGTTTACGGTTTATTACTGGTCGAAAGACCGTAACTTTTGAAACGATTTGATAGATGGCTCCATCTGTTGATGGTATTTAACCACGCAATTTTGCCAGCACCTTGATTTGTGGGTATCGATTTTCATCTTCGTCTTTCTTTGGTAAATCGTATCGAAGTACACGTCATTTAAACAAATAGATGAAATCGTGAGGACACATGGAATTTTAATTGCCATCTTCCGAATATATTTATCTTGGGCGATTGGATTCATAATTTGGGAATTAGTTTGGACGGGATTCTGGGGATATACTTTTGTGTTTTTCCTTTTTTATCATCAGTCCCCCATGCGCATTTCGTTCATTTATAGTGTACTTTCTTTAGGTTTCGGCTGCAATCTGTTGTACTGCAATTTCAATCGACAATTGTTGCTTCATCTACGATTAGCCCTCTTATATAAGAGGGGATACCTTTGATTTCTTTTAGGGTTGAATATCTTCAAGTTCCGCAATACTTTTTACGTTACCTACTAATTCTTATTCGACCTACAAGTTTTGTAACCTTGGGTTAAATTCACCGATACCTGCGGGTGCCGACGCCCTTGGTTTACTTTCACATCTCCTGATAACAAGCGGCCATGAGGTCACCGGATCATGAAGGAGATTTAATATCGAGAATCGACTCTCATAAAGGGTAACTTCCGTTTAGCGTCTTAGCTGATAACTATTTTGCCACTTTAGAGTTATATACGATTACCTTTAGGTAATTTTGTTTTTACTGGAGGCATTATTTGTGCTTAAAATTTCAATATAATAAATAAGAAAGTTGCCATTGTCAAGATTTTTCTTGGCTCAGGTTCCAGAGCTATAAACTACCTCATGCAAAATGAACGAACTAAATATCTTGAAAAGGTAGTTAAGGCCTCGGACGGACCTTTTCATATGATGTTCTAAAATCCCACAAAATTAAAATTTGTCCCGTTACCCATAATCATCAATTTCAAATTGGAAAACGAAACCATTAGCCGTTGAAAATTTAATAGAAATGCGTCATATGCATACCAATATTTCATAATTGCCAAACTTTGTAAAGCTCTTGTGAAAGTTAATTAAACTTCTATCTATACAAAAATTCGTCGTGTTCGCAGTATTGATTTATGACCATCGCTTTTAACTAATTTAAACGCTTTGTTGAAACAAGCAACATCCATTAAGAGGAAACTTCCGAACAAATTATTTTGAGATTTGGTAGAACGCCATTTGGAAGAAACGAACGGTTAAGTAATTTGTTCAAAACTTCTTATTGAAAATTAACCGATAATTAATTTACTTACTTTGCATAATTAACATCCTTCAATTACCTTGCTGCTATCAATAATTAATTAATACCACAACGTGTGAACTAGTGAAACATGGCAATAACACCATCCTTAGGGAGTAAATAGTTAGAACCACTACTACTGTGATCAAATAATAATAATTGGCTTAATTGCATATTATATTATGATGTATGTATACATTTCATATTCAGTTAATTATTGGGACTTTTCCCCCGTAAATGGGTACTCTGATGGTATTAAAAAATGAGTAGTTTTAATCTCTTAATTGTTTTGTTAGCGTAGTTTCCTCAAAGTGATCAATCGCTCGCTACTGGCCGCACTTTGTCGTCCGTCCATCCGTCACACGTACTCCTTTTACAGGACTGAACCGGTTTGGGCGATAGGGGGCTCATTTGAAAGGGCTTGGTCCAAGGATTCCGTGCATACCGCTATTTTTGGTTTTGCGCATGCGCAGTGTCAGAAATTCGAGTTAACGCATGTGCAATGCTAACTTTTTTTATTTACCTATGATTTAAGTAAAAGTAACGACATTTTTAAAATATTGTTATGCGCAAATGCCAACTTCCTTATTTACGAAGGCCATTAAATGAAATTTAATACATGGGCACTTGAAATAAAAGCAAATCTAATATCTAATCTAATATACGTTCCACCATTTTACAATAAACTGTATAGACTTCGACGATAGATTTGAAAGAGAATGGGTAAGAGTCTCGTGCCTTCCAGTATTTTTTCCAGCATTAATATTATGTAGAGGAAAACACGCTCTCGTCATTTATGCTTGCATAATGACTTTTTAACTTGTTATATTTCTGTCTGGGCCTTGTAATTGAAACATAAGCATGCTTTGTTTTGAATTTGACAATTGAAAGAAAAATGGTTTGCTTTCAAAAGATGAGATCTAACGATACCTACGTCGACAATAAATAGAAGTTCTCCATTTGTCATTCGTTTATTGCATTATTGACATATGTGGGAGTAGTTGAGATGGTTTATGGCTGTACATATAGCATGGATCAGTTCCTCGGAAATTTGTACAGCAATTATGCCCTTATTAAGAGTTTCTTTCAAAATCATTTATGCCTAACATGCGACGTGTTAAATACACTATCACGTATCCCGAGGAAGTTGGTCGATTTAAAGCACCTGTTTGCGTAGTAAAAGGACCTGCACTTACCCCAATTCCCCAAAAGAACCAGTATTTATTGGCACCAACTTTTTTGCTCTAGCGCGCGCGCTGCACTGCTCTCTTTCCGGCACTCCCTCTCCTCGTGCAGGATTGGGATAGGATATGCGGGATTCATAAATTAAATTTGAATTCAAAATAGGTGATATGATTCCGGACTTAACATTACCACCCATCAAAAAACAATAGTTTTTTCTGTTACACAAAATAAAATAAAAACTTGTATTATTCACTCAAGCAACTTAACTAACTAGGTATATATAAGAAAGAACAAAAAAAGAAAAGAAAAAAAATTATTATTGAATCGGCAGTGGGCACAATTTTACCACTGGCCGTTTATAAATACCGTGAGATGTTTTTACAGTGGCAACGCGGACCACTCCATCTGTACCTGGATGCACCTCAATTATCCGTCCTAGAGGCCAAAATAATGGAGTCTTTTGTTCATCTTTAATTAGAACAAGTGCATTCTCTCGGATATTAGTGGTTTTATTGTACCATTTGCTTCGCTGTTGAAGCGTATGTAAATATTCTAAATGCCACCGTTTCCAAAAATCATGATGCATTCTCTGCAATAGCTGCCATCGATTTAATCTATTTAATTTTATATGTGAAAGATCTGGATCCGGTATAACCGAATTTAATGGCTCCAAATTTAGAAAATGAGATGGCGTGAGTGCCTGCAGATCATTAGGATCTTGTGAAATGGCGCATAAAGGACGAGAGTTTAAAAGAGCTTCTACTTGCGTTAAAAAAGTATATAGTTCCTCATATGTTAATATTTGAGTTCCGATTACTCTCTTAAGATGAGTCTTAACAGCTTTCACCCCAGCCTCGCTTAGACCGTTAAAATGTGGCGCTCCAGGTGGATTAAAGTTCCAATTTAAATTAAGTTTAGTTGCAGCTTGTTGAGCAAGTTCGATAAATTGACGATTTGCACCAATAAAATTAGTACCTTGGTCACTAAATATTTCGGAACATCTGCCTCTGCGGGCTGTAAATCGGCGAAAAGCGGCGATAAATGAATCTGAAGAGAGGTCTGATGCAAGCTCTATATGAATAGCTTTTACCGCACAACAGACAAAAATGTATATGTATGCCTTTAGAATTTTTGGTTTTCGAGTTTTTCCTAAAGTTATCATAACGGGTCCCGCATAATCTAAACTGACTACAGAAAAAGGTTTCAACTGCGATACTCTATAGGACATAAACGGCACATTAACTCTTGGACAGACTCTAAAACATCTTATACACTTAGATATGCAATTAGTTATGGCACGTCGTGGTGACAGAATCCAAAATCTTTGTAATAATAGAAAGTGAAGGGTTTTATATCCTGGGTGTAAATATTTTTGATGCGTATGTTCTACAATTAATTGTGTTATCCTATGATTACTTGGCAATAAAAGCGGATGTTTTGCGTCAAATGCGAGATTTGAATAACGTAATCTTCCACCCACCCTAAGGCAACCAACCTCGTCAACAAAAACAGCAAGTCTGCGAAACGGCTTAGGAGCCGGAGTGTTTTGCTGAATTGCTCGAAAAATGTCAGAAAATGTCTCGAGCTGAGCATGTTTTCTATTATCCATCTAAGGGTGTTCTATTTCACTAATATTGATTGTTCTTGGTGATTGAAGGTTTTTGTTCCTCAAACAATGTATGAAACGATAAGTTAAAGCTAAATTCTTTGAATCTTTTGAAGTGATGAGAAATTTTGGAGAAGTAAAGTGATACAACGTTGCTCCACGACTGCATTTAGGACCACATATTTCGTTTCCTCCTCTGCGGTTGCTTCCAAATGATTTGGTTGCAAAGGCCAATTCTCCCTTGATTGTGAGAGCCAAGAAGGACCTGCCCACCACAACGAATGTGCGAGTAGCTGGGATGGGGTTATACCTCGAGACCCCACGTCGGCGGGGTTATCTTTTGTTGGAACGTAATGCCATCGAGCTTCTGGCAATGTTTCCTGAATATGCGAAATTCGATATGCAACAAAAACCTTTTTTGTGTAAGGTAACGAATTAATCCAAGCGAGGGTGGTTTGACTATCCGACCAAGCGTGTAGCTCATTAATAACTACATTAGGTAGCATTGACTGAATATTGGCAATCAAATCTACCAGCATTACAGCAGCACACAGTTCCAAACGCGGTATAGATAAAGTTTTTAGCGGGGCGACGCGAGATTTTCCAGAAACAAGGAATAACTTAGTTAAACTATCGGATAAGACAATTTTAAAATAAACAACTGCGCAATATCCCATTTGCGACGCGTCGGCAAAACCATGCAACTCCGTATAAAGTGCGTCCTGACACAAAAACAACCTAGGAATGCTTATTTTTGAAAGATATGATAACTCAGATCTGAATTGATGCCACTTTTGTACGATAGAATCTGAGGGAGGATCATCCCACCCGACCTTTGAGATCCATAACTGTCGCATAATAATTTTTGCGAACATTAAACACGGTGATAGGAAACCTAAAGGGTCATTAATTCTGGAAATTTCAGATAAAATATATCTCTTAGTGACCAATGGATCATGGGATGTGTAAGAATAAAAGAAATGATCATCTATCGGATTCCAATGTAACCCTAGAACTTTAACGGAAGATGGTTCTTCTTTGTTAAAATCGATGAGATGTTGATGTTGCGATTTAATTAATTCTGAGTGGTTGCTTGCTCATTTTCTCAATTAAAACCCGCCTAGTTCCATAAGTTCAATTAATTCTTTCTGTAATTTTAACGCCGATTCTGTGCTGGTTGCACCGTAAACAACGTCATCGACATAAATAAAATTCTGCAATACGTGCGATGCGAAAGGGAATCTATTTTCGTATATTTTGGCGAGTTCTTGGATTGTGCGATTAGCCAAATAAGGCGAAGAAGCGAGCCCATAAGTTACTGTGTTAAGACGATATTCATTAATGGGTTCGTTTGGGGAAAAACGCCACAAAATGCGTTGAAAATCTCTATGCTTGGGTTCCAAATTAATTTGTCGAAACATTTTTTTGATATCGCAAATAATTGCAATTGGAAAACATCGAAAATTTAATAATATTGCAAATATGTCCTTTTGTAGTTTAGGACCGATAAGTAGCGTATCATTTAAAGATAATCCTAACGATGCCTTTGCGGAAGCATCGAATACAACACGCAATTTAGTAGATAAACTGTCGGGGCGATACACACAATGATGTGGCAAATAGAACCCATTATTAATTTTCAAATCACGAACTACTGACATGTGACCNAGTATTTATTGGCACCAACTTTTTTGCTCTAGCGCGCGCGCTGCACTGCTCTCTTTCCGGCACTCCCTCTCCTCGTGCAGGATTGGGATAGGATATGCGGGATTCATAAATTAAATTTGAATTCAAAATAGGTGATATGATTCCGGACTTAACAGCACCTAAAGGTACACTTTAACGGTCCATAACGTGATGTAAGTGTGCGATAGCCTTGAGCATTGCCTAAGAAGAGCGGATAGAAAGGTAGTTAGTTTTATAATATGCTCTTTATCTAAAAAATTATCTTTGGCTATAATTAATACTAGGAAGCTGAGTTATTGAAATTATCGAATACCTACTGTGGAATGAACTTCGTTTATTTTCCTTTTTTTAAATGCAGTTCATTCATGTTAAGATAAATGGGAACTTCCAAAGATTTGAATACATTTAATACTATATCTAATATTAAACTCGGTGAAGGATAAACTTCCATAAATTCAATAGGTGATGTATGTATTTGGTGTTCATATTCGTATTGTATATACCTAGCTCTTCCTCCTACATCAAACTCCCGTAAAGTTTGTTTTGAATGTGTAAAACCACGTGATTATAGTGAACGTGCAGTTCAATCAAAAGAATCGTCGTGTTGTGAATGATTCCTTTGAGGATTAAATCATAATAACGTACGGCATCCGTTATTCAGTTCAACAACTCAAAGCCGCAAACCGCCATAATCTGCTGCAAATCCTTTCAGTACAAAATCACTCAACACATCTGTGTGAGATTTCACAAGTTTCTAACTTGCAGTTTTCGTTACCGAGGAAGTTGAAATGGGAAACTTTGCATATACGCGATTTTTACTTTAGCGTATTACGGTAACCCAATGAGATTAATTTCTAATTTCTTTAGAGTCAGTTACCAATTTTTCGACTTCGCTTGATACAAAAACGGAAGGTACGTAATTCAAATAAGCAGAACAGATTATGACAACTTAGAACGTAGAATTGTAAGATGAAGTAAGTGTAGTTAACGAACCAAAGTTTTTTTCGTGACCAATGGCCGCCTTCTAATCGTTTTTATCAGAGGCATTGGGCCGCGAGATTCGGGTTATCATTTTAAAGTGTGCTCGATCCAATTTAATTCACGGGCTCAAGCTAATCCGTGGATCGGACTGGACCTGCATACATTTGTTATATTGCCTTTTGCAATTACCATATACTGATTACTGTGTGCCATGGCTTGTGGTCACTACACCACCCACAAAACACTTGACCATCTGGCTCAACACAAATCAACATTGACTCTTGTCAAGAATATTGTGGGTCGCACAAAGGATTCGACTGAACACACAATTAATTGAAACAAATTTATTCCGAAACACATAGAACAACTAACACCAAATCCCTGAAGGAGAGAAAAGCTTACTTGTTATAATACCCCGCATGCAGGCGGCCGATAACTAAAAATAAAAAAAATCTTAATTATTTAGTTTTTTTCTAATAATCCAAGTAATCTGGTCGTAAAAGGAAATTTCAAATCAACCACCAATCACAATCAGACTTGATGCTGCCCGCTTCGACAGGACGCGTCCCCACTTAACGCCAAAATAACGCACAAACGTAAAAACACATCTCTTAACAACGATAAGAACACGTGCGTTAATTAAATTTCGTCTGATAAAAACTCCTTATCTCAAACGACCAGATGTCTCTACATTTTAACACGAAATTTCACGTTTTACAATGAAATGCACAAATTTGCAAAAGCGATAAATCGACTACGCAATCTTGTAAACAGCTCCAAAAGGAAAATTAACACTGAGATAAATTCAAATACAATAACCTTGTGTTTGTTTGTTAATAATCCCCCAGATTTACACTTAATTAAATTGAAATATTCTCATATACGTGGTGTCTCGTCATTATTTTTGGTGTTTAAACCGAAATAAAGTGTACATGACGTTGTTTACACAACATTATATACCGAAGCGGAGTAACCAAAGATTGGGCCCTAGGGGCCTAGGCTCGCGATAATTTATGCCCGCTCCTCCTCCTCCCTAACCTTGAGTTTTTGATCTCTTATTATTACATTAAGACTATTCATAATTAAGAAACGAATATAATTAATACATTAACTATGGTACATTATGACGGATATGAATTCCTATACAAGCTGATTCAAATTCGAGAGCCACCATGGGGATCTCGGAAACTGTAGGTAGGTAGGTAGTTTAAATATGGCATAGTTGCGTATTTTTTATACCTTTTTATTAATACCCATCCACCATAGTGCCACTTCCTCATCGAGCAAATTTGAAACGTTTGTTAATTTCCTCGTGAGCTTTAAAATTCTTCTAAAGTTTCTCCTCATATTTTCCTCAAGTACGACTCAAATACTGCTCAAGTTATCTAATCTCTCTCATGCTCCATTCAAGTTTCTCTCAATTTTTTTTTAATTGCCTCTCAAGCGCGTCTTAAAAGTTCCACCAAATTGTCTCAAGCTCACCTCAATCACCTTTTCTTGAATTGCGTGGGATTGATTACCATCTGAGATTGGTAGTAAAAAAAAGACATAATAATAATAAAACTGAGTGGGAGATTTGAATTCCCGGATGTCTGCCATTTTGTATTTTGTTTCTGAGGTCCATAGGGCCCTAATTGGTCGACCATTTTTGCAATCGTGGTACTGTGCTTGATTACGGCCGAAACTGTCAAGATACTGAGGATTTGAATTTTTGAATAACAATAAATTATCGAATTTCGAGACAAAGATTTGAAAGAACAAACTACTAGTTTAATACTGTGCTTATGTGTGCTTATACAAACGAAGAAACAAAATAAGGTCTTTAATTACAAATTGTTTGACTTACATTCATTGTCGGTTGTGATACATTGTGCCGTTGATAATAATCTAGACTAGATTACTTTGATCGAATCGCATTAGAATTGAGATATCGCTCGAGCAGAATAACCTTCACTATATTCAAAAAAGGTACTAAGGAAACCTCAATCAGAAAATCAATCCATATATTTCTCAACGGAACATCGTATCATAACCGACAATGAATGTAAGTCAAACAATTTGTAATTGAAGAGCTAAGTTTGTTTTTTACCTGCGCATAGTATTAAACTAGTGACCGTAGTTTGTTTTCTTTCATATGTTTGTCTTGAAATTGGATTATTATTGTGTTATTCAAAAAATTCCAATCCTCCGGCATAGTCGAGTATCGTGACAGTTT